GGAGCTTTATTCTCTGATTTTTTTGTTGTTTGTTTGTCTGTTTTTCTTTGGTACTGGGAATCGAACTCAGGACCTTGTGCTTGCTAGGCAGGTGCTTGTGCCACTGAGCTATACTCCTGCCTTTTTTTTTTTTTTTGGCTGGGGGGTGAAACAGGACCTACTATCTAGTGCAAGCTGCCCTCAAACTCAAGGCAATCCTCCTGCCTCAGCCTTCCAAGCGCTAGGATTATAGGTGTACACTATTATGCCTGGCTTCATGTTTTTAAAAATAAAATTGGTGTTACACTGTAACATGCTTTTCTTACCTGTATTAAATCAAGATCTCAATAAGTATCCCTTAAATATCACAGAATTAAATATTCTTTAAAAACTTAATTTGTTAATAGCTCCTGGATATCCCGCTTGTATTATATTATCATCTTCCCATTATCAGATAGTTTCTAAACTTTGTTATTACAAAGATGCTGAGATAAACAATATTGTGCTTAAAATTTCAAATAACCTATGGTCAAAGTAGCACTGGAAAACAGGCTCCGTCAAACCTGACACTCTCACACCAGCCCCTGTCCTCCAGGGCTGCTCTTTCTGGCCTGGTCTGCAGGGCCCATTTCTCGGTCACACTTCACTTTTACTTTCTCAAATCAACTTTGCCACTGGCAACCATAAATCAATCAATCAAGCATCTTAGGAGAGCCACCATTTACCAGCTGTGTGCGACATTTTACACGTCATTTCACCAAGTTCGCAAAAACATCTGCAATCCAGAAGGCAAAATGCGTTGGAAATGGGACTTTGTATGAAAACTGTGGGAAGTACCCCGGCGGACCGCAGACCCAGAGCACTCAGCAAGCCCAACCCTGCGTGGGCTCTTACCGTCTTGGAGCGCCAGCACCGGCAGTAGGCTGCTTTCGTGAGACACAGGTCTTCGATGTTGATTTCATTCACCACCTTGGGGTTTTCCTTCTGAATCTTAAGGTTTATCAAGCTGTCCTTCTGTTGCTTCTTCTTTGGGAAGAAGGGGCGGACAGCGAGGTAGCCGAGGAGGGCAAGCACGCCCAGGAAGGGCAGCAGCCGGAGCCATTCTGCAACTGAAGGCACACAGTCAGCCATGCCAGCTGCTGCCTGCTGCCCACATCTGTGACCCTGGGGTGGGCTTCCCAGCAGACCCTGCTCTACTAGCGCCACCCTTGTATGAGCTAACTTGAGTCTCAGGAAAGTAGAAAGCTCAATTTGCAGAATGATTCCTACTTCAAATAATGTGTCGCACTGAGCCCGTAGCATGTCTGTGCCAGGGCCTATGTCCAGATGTCCTCTGGCCTCCTGCCGGGGTGGGCTGCACCTCAGCTGTATGGTGCTAGCATCAAGGGTGTACGCTCCTGGCCGAGTCCCCTGACTGGTCAGGCACATCTGGGGTGTACCCTGGGTGTGGGCGGCACCACCCAAAGGGCCCAGCCCTTTTGAAATTGAAATTGAAACGTTTATAAATTGAAGACGTTCTCATTGTAGGATAAAGCTCATTGCATAGACATTCATTAAGTGCCTGCTGGAGCCTTGTCCTAAGATAGAGCATATAAATGTGGTAGGGAATGCTTCACTCTGCCTGTGGACACAAACACAAACACATCAAGACTCTTGAGACAGTGGTGGTGAACCAATGGCATATCGGCCACACTGGTCACACACGGCCCTCTCTGCCATGACATCAGGGGTTGTGCAAGTCATTTTTTTCTAAGCTAAAACCTCAGTATTTGGGTGTAACTGAGGTGTTGGCACTTTGAGATAAGTGAGTTCTAGACTGCAGCTTGGGAACTCAGTCTCTAAAAGGTTCACCATCAGTCTTCCAAGACAGATATGTTTGCACATGTGGATCAAGTCTCCCTGAGGTTCCTGTACTAGCAAAAGGTACTAGCACAAGTTACCTATACTAAAGTCCTGTTTACCTTCCTTCGCTGAGTGGCCCCCTGGGACCTTGCTAGGTGCTACATGGAAATAGCCAACTTAAGAAAAAACAGGAAATTATGTACCAAGGTGTGTGCGAATAAACACGGCTGGGGATGTGGCTCAGCGGTGGAGCACTTACTTGCTTGGAGTTCAGTCCCCAGCACAAAAACCAAACCAAAACCAAACCCACCAAGTAGAGAAGTATCATACAAGAAAAAATGTTTTAATGTTGACAATAAATGAAGCCAGACATGGTGGTGCAAACCTGTAATCCCAGCACTCAGAAGGCTGAGGCCAGACGATTGCTGTGAATTCGAGGCCAACGTGAGCTACACAGAGACTCCGTCTCAAAAAAAAAAAAAAAAAAAAAAGAAAGAAAAAGGAAAGAAAGAAAGAAAAGAAATAATGAACCGAATGAACAAACTATGCTTTGAGTACAATTCTGCTAAGTCACTTAACACTCAGCTTAAACAACCGTTCTACTGTAACATTACTAGTCCCATTTTACAGGGGGTAAACTGCAGCTGAAGCATGTGTGGCCCAGCACAGCTTACATCCAAAGACTTTTGTAAATCACCATGAACCAGTGTGGTGCCACACACCTGTAACCCTAGCACTTGGTAGGCTGAGGCAGGAGAGCTGTGAGTTCAAGGCCAGCCTGGACTATGTACTGAGTCCCTGCCTAAAAAAAATTTTTTTTTAAAATCTAACAGATCTAAAATTAAATCTGTTCTTCTCTTGGTAAAACTCTCAAGACAATCAATCTTGTTATTTAAATACTCAAAGAAACGGCAGTTTAATTTTTACTCTCCCAAAACAGAATCCTTATATAGACCTCCTTATATACAAAGGTATCAGAGTGCCTAGCACAGAGAAGGTGCAGAGTGTGCAAAGTACAGGACAGCCTGTGTCAGAGAGGACAGAGCTGGGGTGGAAGCAGGGCTGGTCCTTTTTTCCACACCAGAGCTATTTTCCACACCAACTTGACACTGCTATATGACAGAAATCTTAGAGATGTAAACTTATGGTCATTGGAATGAAGCTCTGCACGGAGGAGGACTCTGCCTCCTGCACCCATTACACCCTTACAAAAAAATGAAGACTCCATAAAGGTTCTCTGAGTGAATTCGCACAGGCTTATATCATATGTGCTACACACAATACTGTCCCATCAGGCGTCTTGTACCACCCAACGGACTGTCCCATGTCACCCGATGGAACTGTCGCACATGGTAGCAAGACACACACATCCGGCCAGTGGATGCCTTCAAGTTCTGTAGTGCAACAGAGCTGTTTCATGGAGGGAAAGGACCTGCACTGTCGAGGTGACCAAGTCGCTAGCCACTGCTTGCACATGTGCCTACAGTTTTCTCTTCATCTCACACGGCAGGACAGGAGCCTCGGAAACACTGCCTGAAAGAAGACTGTGATGCTTAGAGGAGGAGGTGGCAATGAGGGGATGCAGTGGGGTTGGCCAGGGTGCAGGAGGAGCCAGAGGACAGGCGCGGAAGCCTTTCCTGTGGCCTCTGGGGCAGGCAGGTGGCTGTCACTGGAACTGGGCCACGGGAGCCGAGCGGCCCCCACAATGGTACCTCTCCGAAGGACAGTCAAGGGGACACTGGCTCGGTGTGGAGGAGCCCAGAGAGGAGGGGCTGTGGATGAGAGGTGTGCGCCTGCCAAGACACTTCATATCTCTAGGAATTAAATTAGCTTGTGCTGGGAGGAGCCTGTCCTCAGTCAGGACGCATCCAAGACATCAAAGCACACAAAATACAGAAAATGAAAGATATGATTAATACACACGTGTGGCTATTTACATGTAAAGTAAAATTCTGGATCACGCAGGGACACAACTTTTCCAGGCACAGCAGCTGCGCAGTCAGTGGCTACTGTACAGTTGCCACAGACTGAGGACAGCCGTGCAGGGCAGGGCTGTGAGCTTCCTTTCCAGGCTCACAGAGCCACACCTCTTCCCTCCACCCACACAGCCTCTGCAGGGTTTGTCTCTGGTGCACATGAGGCAAGGCACAGGGCCGACAGCTGCTCACCCTTCTGTGGCCCGACAGAAGGGCCGACAGAGCGGTTGAAGGCAGCACAACCGGTCCCATCCCCTTTTCCCTCCCACAGCGGCGTCACCTGTTCACGGCATCTTCCAAGTCAGCAACGAATGCAAGTATGCTGAAGCGGGGGTCCTGCAATCAATGTGTGTTGGACAGAGTAATATTAGAGTTACTCCAGGGGAGGGAGGAAACAGCAGGGGAAGGAAAAAGAATTAAGATGTGTCATGCATTGTTAACACGCACCCTGGTGCTTGCCATGTACTGCAAGCATGTACTAATACAAAACTGTTGAAAGGATTTAATATTAAAATTATTCTATTTTATTAGGGCCAGATGTGGTGGCACATGCCTGTAATCCCAGCATCTGGGAGGCTGAGGCAGGAGGATCACTGCAAGTCAGGCCAGCCTGAACTAGATGGTGAAACTCTGTCTCAAAAAGACAAAAAAATACAATAATTCTATTTGTTTCAATAATTAAAAAACCACAAGAGGTTAAACTGCCAAAAAGCATATGAGTAAGAGTATAAAAGTGAAGACCTTTTCTTTAGACTCTTCAAAGAGTTTGCCTATCTTAATTTACCAAACCCTGGAAACAAATGGTATTAATGTTTTTAAATCTACTTCAGAAAATGTTCTTTTAGGCCAAGCGGTGGTGCCCAGAGGCTGAGGCAGGAGGACTGCCGTGAGTTCACAGCCAGCCTGAACTATAGCAAGACCCTGTCTCAAAAAAAATCCCCGTAAAAAATGTTCTTTTAAACACTTGATTCCTCGGTAAAATGCTGCTCTAAAACAGTGATGAGAGGTAAGAACTGCATATGGTAGGAACTCACAAACAGACCGAGTACAATTCACTGCCCGATGTGGTATAAAAATGTGTGAACAAAAAGGTTTATGCTAATACTGTTTGGACAATTAAATGCCAGTATCTTGTATTCTGAGTAACTGATTTAAGGATAACAATATGCAATGTATTAACCATTGTTACCCTCCTATTATCGTGTTTTGAAATGTTTTTTTGCTTTAAAATTTAAAAAATGGAAATGAGGCCTAAAAAGTTCAATTGAAATCATTTTAAGTACATTTATTAACAATGATTTTTAGTGAAAAATATCAAGTACCGAAGAATTAAATAAAATTTTAAAACTTTTATTTGATGTATATTGAGCCATTAGCTACTTTAAAAGGAAAAAACATTACCTACTAATTATAAACAATGTATAAAATAATGTAAAACAGATATTTTATACAGCATTTTTGTTTTGAATTATTAAATTTATATAACACTTAAAAAACTTAGGAAAGTATAAAAAAGAAAGTAAATCACAATTCCACCAGTAAGAATTGCTAAGTTTGGTACGTTTCTAGTTTTGAGAGTGATGTGTAAACATATATGTTATAAATGCTTTCTAAGGGGCTGGGGATTTAGCTCAGCGGCACAGCACCTGCCCAGAAAGCGCAACATCATGAGTTCGATTCCTGGTACCGGAAAAAAAAAATAAAAATAAAAATAAACACTTTTTAAAACCGAAACCACACTGTAAATAGTCTAGATCAGATTATCATGTCAGCCCAGGTCCACCGCTACATCTAGAAACACAAAGTGGGCAGCTGTGTCCACGGCCTTCACAGTGCAAAACCAACACCAGCAGGACCTCCAGTCTGCACACCGCCGAGCCCCCCACTGCAGTGTCTGCCAGCCCAGCTCATTCCCCTCACCCTGAGGCACGCATGATTTACACTTCTTTCGCTGTGTGCTCACTTATCTATTCGATGAGCTTTGAAATGGCACAGACCTGCAAACATTACCTAAAACAAAATGCAAGTTTTGTTGTTTTGGCAGAACTGTGGACTACACCCAAGGCCTTCACACTGAGCTACATCCCGGTCCTATTTTATTTTTTAAGACAACCTCTTTCCCTAAATCACTGTTTCCCAGGCTGCGCTCCTGTAATCCCCTAGCTCTGGGTGGTTTCTCGCCTCAGCCTCCCAGAGCACAGGGATTATGGGGATGTACCACCATAAACTCAATAAAATGAGTCATCTGAAAAATCACTATCCATATATCCACATGTGTATGTCATTTCCAT